GACGGTTGGAGAAGCTAACCAACGAACACGCAGACGATAGACTGGAAGGTAAGACTCTGTACTTCGTCCACTTACTCTCCATGCCTACCTACAGTGCCTGTGGCCGTTACCGGCCGGTCAAAGAGCGAGCTGTCGATTAAGGAGAGCCAACCATGGAGCATTGGATAAGCTAACCAACGAACGCGCAGACGGAAGACTGGAAGGTATGACTCTGTACTTCGTCCACTTACTCTCCATGCCTACCTACAGTGCCTGTGGCCGTTACCTGCTGGCGATGGGAGAACTGGCGATTCAGGAGAGCCAACCAAGGACGTTTGTAGAAGCTAACCAACGAAGGCGCAGATGGAAGACGTAAACGGAAGACTCCGTACTTCCTTTATTTACTGTCCATGCCTACCTACAGTGATTGTGCCATTGTCTGCTGGCGATGAGGATACCCTCTACCAAAGATAAATGCTGAAGTTGATAGGGGGTACGGCATTGTATTGCTAGCGTGTAATCGCATACCCTTTTGTAGTACACCTAACTGTTGAATGTTACTGATGTGGCAAGCCGGCTGCCAAAGGCAGTCGGGGACGATTTTCCCTACTACGCTTTATGTCTAGTGTATTGTTCCTTTTCTTAATTCGAAGTAAATGTTGCATCTTTCTAAGGCGTTGTTCTTGCTTACGGTGCTGCTAAGCCTCCGGAATGAGAGAAGGTGTGATACGCAGTTGAGTAAATTTCAACCACAGGGCTGCGTTAGATGATAGGTGCCTATGGATCACTAATAGAGGAGTTGAACGGACGTTGTCTGTGGGATGGGCGGGTATCTCTAGCAGTGGTAACGTAGCCAACATCGCACGGTAAGGATTGCGACTGATCGACCACCCTGGAGGCTTGGTACGTGAACATGTTTACCGACGTAGAATAATGCAATGACGTCCGCTAAGCCTCGTCGATAAACCCTTATGGGGCAGGGAGGGAGTGATTACGGAAGGCCTTTAGAGCGGGAACAGGGAGGTGCGAAGAGAGGGTCTTAGGCCGCAGCCAGCCATGGTAGAGGGTAAGTAGGAATCGGGGTAGCTTGTAACTGGCGACGTGAACCACCCGCTGGAAAGGGCATATCAGGTCAACTAACAAAGGCGGGTGGGAGGGACAGTAGACTGTGAAACAGGCGGAAGTGGGAACAGCCGGTGAGGGAATTGTCGAATGCGGTAAGCTTGCCTAAAGGGGAGAGGGACTGCCGGGATCGATGTTGGGACGGCGTAGGTGACAGGCCGTGGGGGGGGAGGGGGAAAGGCGTGGGCTAGACGGTGAGGGAGCGGTAGGGCTTTATGTAAATACCGCAGTGGTCTA